GAGTTGTGTGGGCGCTCAGTCGCCATAGCCAGTTTGAAGAGAACTCTTATGTGGATACGATATCTTGAGTACTGAGTGGGCGCCTGTCGCCAATTTGCTGTTTCGCTGTTTGCATACATGACAAGTTGAATAATCGTAGTGTGATTTCAAGAGAGAGAGAGAGAGAGAGAGAGAGAGAGAGAGAGAGAGAGAGAGAGAGAGAGAGAGAAATGCCTACCCAGCTAGTTGCAAGTGTCAATTTCAAGATATTGAGAGAGAGAGAGAGAGAGAGAGAGAGAGAGAGAGAGAGAGAGTGTTCTACATACAACAGACTGCGAATGTGAGATCCGACTCTCAGACATATGGCAAAGTCGGAAGTGCTTGAACAATTTTTTTTAATTTTTTTTTGAACAACATATTTGATTATTGGTTGACAGGAACTTAATGGCTAAGCAGGACCTCGCATCACTAGGGTTTACGGAGGAAGCTTCAGGGAAATCGGATTCTTCGGGGAATGCTAATCCTTCGCAGGAGTCATCAGAGAAGCTGTCATCGATCGAGCAGGCAAGAAGAAGGGCACAGTCAGGCTTTGTTGCGGGGATCAGGCGTAAACAACAAGAAAGTAGCACCAAGACAGGGGGCAGTTGAGTAGAGGAAGGATTCTGGACGTGGCTACTTGTTGAGGAGAGGGGCAGTTGTTGCATGTGTCGAATACAAATCGTTAATACTGAGGCTGTGCTGCTGCTCTGGAAGCATGCAATCTGGCCTTCTGAGCCTTCTGCAGTCTGGACATGTGAGCATTTGGGAGGAAATTGGGACAATGCTTCCTCTTTCAGGTCCTTCACTGCGGTCAGTTCTCGATCACTGATTGCTTTCACTGCCAGTGACTTATGGCTATATGCGTCTCTCCATTGCGGTTGTTTGCTTTGTGTTTTCCAATGACCTTTTATGAAGTTTTATCTTTTTTTTTTTTTTTTTTTTTTTTTTTTTTTTTTTTTTTTGCTTCCTTTTTGAAGATTCTGAAAATATGTGCATGCCCTCGGTGAGCTCTTCTGTGTTGATGATATTGGATCTTTGCTCCTTTCGGGTCCTTTCAGCTCCTTTCAGCTCCTTTCAGCTCCTTAAACCACCAACCAGTACATGGCCCCAACCAAGTTGACAATCAGATTGAGCCTCTCCTAAAATTTCAGAGGCTGGCGTGCCGTTGATAAAATACGTCAACGGCGGGCGGCCTCCGAAAGGGCCCGCGGCCAATTTATGGCATGTACTGGTGGTTTAAGGTCCGCAAGCGCAGGATTTTTTCATTGAGCGTGAATTGTATATCTAAACTCAAAATTTTCCTTTTTTTTTTTTTTTTTTTTGTATCTTTAAGTTCAGCCATGTTGACAGGGCAGTCACCCAGGAGAAGGATTCAGGACTGGGAAGATGATCCACAGCAGACGAGAAGGCTCAAGAGGACAAAGGATCATCTCAAGATTGGTTACATATGGGGGTTCTCTCTCTAGATATTACGATGATCTGACAGACAAGTACAATGGGGCTGAGAGGAGAGAGAAGGTTAAGGCAAGCTGACAGTCAATCCTCCACCACACTGGAGTAATCAATGCTGTTCAGGGGTCCTTCGGCCGGACGGAAGGAAGCGTGTGTGAGTTTTTATTGATGTAATGTATATTTTGACTTGCCGGTGGAAAAGGAACCGGACTGACGCTCCCCAGAATAGAAGGAGCCAGGACCCTAAGGCCCTGTTTTGTGAAAAAAAA